CTCTCCCTCTTTCTGCTTCCTTTCTACAGCTTAATTGCTGCAGTACTCATCACGTTCCTTACATTCCATATCGTTCTCCTATCCTCGATTGTCCTATATCGAATTTCTCCATTCCATCCTCTCGCCAAATATCCTGGTCCACTTCTCTGCAAAGTGACCAAGTGGTGGTTGTATCTGAACGCCTACAAGGGATATCAATTCAAGTACCTTCGTAATTTGCATGAAAGGTACGGAGATGTTGTCAGAATAGGTGAGATTGTTCTTTATCCGCGACCTGTGCTTCAGCCATTAACCCCCTGTTTTAGGACCCAACGAGCTTTCTATTAATGACGTCTCTGCCGTAACCCCTATCATGGGTACCCACGGTTTTGTCAAAGGTCCAAGTAAGAGTGTTTCAGGTCTTGTGTCTCCAGTTACAGGGATGTGCTAACCAGAACTTGCTATCTTTAGATTGGACTGGACGTACATTCCATACTCCAATCCCCTCCTTGATTGCTCTTAGAAGCAATGAAGTTCACCTCGAACGTCGCAAGCCGTGGGTTCGCGGCTTCAGTATCAATGCTTTGAAAGAGTACCAGCCAGTCATCACTGCTCGTGTTACCGAGCTTCTTGACAGACTCAGCGGTCTCAAGGGCGAAGTCGATATTTCTGAATGGATGGGTCGCTACAGTCATGATATCATGAGTGATGTTGTGTAAGTCCTTCCTCTGTATTCTATCATCCTCTGTGTTGTAGGACTGATTGGAATTTGAACCAGGTTTGGTGGTGGCGTTGGGCTCTCTCAAATGATGCGTGACGGTGATAAAGATGGATATCACAAAATTGTCGACGACGGAATGAGGTAAGTCTTCCGTTTCGCATAATGGCCTGATATGGCTTATCGTATATTTGGCATAAGCTTTGGCACGATTTTCGATTCCTTACCTTGGCTGGCTTACTTTGCACGCAACGTCCCTGGATTAGGAGAAGATGTGAAACGCATGAGAGAAATGGGAATTGGTAAGGCTGCTCTCCGAAACAAGCAAGGATCAAAGACAAAAGATCTCTTCTACTATCTAGTAAGCCGGATGCATTCGCAGATCCTACCTTAGCAACTTGTTTATGTTCTATTCACAGAGCAATGATGATTTAACAGAAGAAAAGAAAGCGAACCCTGCTATTGTTATTGCCGAGGGTATATTGGCCACAGTTGCCGGATCAGATACTACATCCAATGCTCTTACGGTCGCACTGTACTTCCTCCTGAAAAACCAGGACGCCTACAGACGTCTTCAGGCTGAAGTGGACAAGTTCTACCCTCAAGGCGAAGACCCTCTTGATTCCAAACATTACAAAGATATGGAATTCTTAGAAGCCGTCATGTAGGTCTTAAGTTTAATCTCAGTACCCTCCATTTTGACCGTTCATCGATGATTGATAGCAATGAGACTCTTCGAATGTACCCTGCTGTCATGAGCGGTAGCCAGCGTTCTGTTATGCGTGGACAAGGCGGCAAGCTCATTGGACAATAGTGAGTTGTTCCCTCGTTCCCTGAAATATGTGCACAGGAATTAATTGTAATGAAACAATAGTTACATTCCAGAGGACACTCAAGTCAGAATTCCCACCTACACCCTCCATAGGGATCCTCGAAACTTCTCTCCCTACCCTGACACTTTCTGGCCTGACCGATGGCTCATCGCTGAAGGCCGACAAGAGTCGAAAGAAGAGATTGTGCATCAAGTCAATGCTTTCATTCCATTCTCATTCGGACCTGCAAATTGTGTCGGCAAGAACCTCGCTTGGACCCAATTGCGCATGGTTTTGGTCGCTTTACTTCACAAGTTCGAAATCAAACCAGTGAAGGGATGGGATGCGGATGAATGGGAGAGACTGATCACGGAACAATACATCACGATGAGAACCTCGCTCCCCGTCATTCTTGAACGTCGTTAGTGGGCATTTGTTTCTCAATTTGCGGATGTATTATTCGTATGTCGTGCTTCATTATTCTGTCCGAATCTTATCTATTCAAAACATATTTCGAGGTTTTCTTTCATAAACACGATGCAGGTTGTGATTTTCTGAGGTCTCATGCGAGTGAACGCGAACACGTGATAGAAACCCATGAAATTGACGTGTCAAACAAGCGCTGTTCAGCTTTATTTTCGTTACCACCACCACCAGCTTGATGGAAATGCTATGCTCACAAGCCATTTTTGTGATGATCAACTGTACCGGTTTCCAACACAAGTCTCGCCCCCCAAGACTCCCTAGGATCCTATATAAACCGACGTGATGTTGCCGCGGTATTTTCTTTTCAGTCGCATCCTGGACGACCGACGTCTGTGAAGACAATTTCCGTTCCTTTTTCTCTTTCTTTCTTTTCTTCTTCGTTCCTTTCTCTTCACGCAGTGCGTGCCATTTTCTGTTTCAATGTCTTCGCATAGCTGGTGCTCTGTGCTTTTGCTTCTTGTTTTGCTTCGTGTGGAGGTTTCGGTCCTGGCTCTGCCTATCCCCGACTTGAGTTCCCCAGTTTCTCTTGGTTCCGAGAAACATTCCGTGGTCCTTCCTATTGTAAAGCGGCAGAGAATCCTGGAGAAGAGAGGTGGTGGTGTGTCTGGTTCAATTGGAACGGGTGATCTTGACGATTTGTGAGTACTTCCATTAGCATTCAATGGCATCGCAGAATTAACTTAATAAATCCACAGGTACTACACTGTATCGATACAGATTGGAACTACTACCACCGCTTTGAGTCTCGGTGAGTTCGCATGATATCTATATTCCAATGGGTTCACATTGCCTCAACGTTTTCAAATTATTACAATCAATAGATACAGGATCTAGTGATCTATGGGTTATGTCTGACAACTGCGAAACAGACGTTTGCAAATCCTCGAAAGCCACACCTTATGCTTCATCTTCAGGACAATCCACCAGCGCAAGCGTCCAATTAAACTACGGTGATTCGACAACTGGAACACATGCCAATGGACCTATTATGAAAGATACTGTTTCATTTGCTGGATTGGCTATGGCAAACCAAACTTTTGCAGCTATCAATGATACCAATAATCTCGCTGTCGTCAGTGGAGGTGCTGGGATTTTTGGACTTGGATTCCCCACTGAGAGGTGAGTATTATATTTTCCTGTATCTATTGCAGTTCAATCTGATTGATTGGTACTTTCATACAGTTTTGTTCAATATGCTCTCGTTGACCAAAATGTATGTCAAAGATAAAACTCAATGATGTATTGCGTAAAGCTGAATCTGTCTCATAGAACCCGACACACTCGTCAAATGTTTTTGTCGAGAACATGGATACCGACGGACCTCTTGTCGCTCGTTTAGCCATGACCGGACAGCTCAAGCATCCAATGTTCTCTGTACGTAGCTCATCACGTCCATCGTGGAAATTGCTGTCTGATAGCATACAATGCAGATTTCCCTTCAACGTGACGCCATCGATGCTGGTGGAAACAACGGCAGTGTGACAATAGGAGATTTCCCTGTAGGCGTTGACAACTCGTCGTTCACATGGGTTCCAGTTCGCTTGTACAGTCATGAAGATGGAGGACTGAGCACCCCTACCTTTGCTCCTAACGAGATATATCCTTTGTATGTATTGCCTTTAGTTCTCACATCATTGTATAGCTTATTGTTTCTTTGTCATTCCAGGAGATGGGAAGTCCCTTTGGATGGCGTCTTTCTGGATGGCGATAGACTTCCCGACACTAACCTGACTGGTGTTAATAAAGGGCTCACTGCACTCATCGACACTGTAAGATATCATTGCTCATTAACAAACAAAGACTCATTCTCATTGACTATACCAGGGTAATTCCATCCTTCGCGGTCCATCCGACGTCGTTAACAACGTCCTTTCTCAAGTTTCCCCAGCTTTCTCCGCAAACAACCAAGCCGATCCGATCTATCCATGCTCAACACCTCATACACTTGCTTTCCAGTTTGGAGGCAAACAATTCCCTGTAGATCCACGAGACTTTGTTTCACAGAACAAAGCAGGGGATGCAAACAACTGTCTTGCGGATAACATTGTTCCCACCGATCCTCCTCAAACCGGGACTCTGTTCAGCTGGAGTTTGGGGGATACTTTCTTCAAATCCAACATTGTTGCATTCTATTACGGAAACTTGACGCATCCTTCGGTTGATCCACCACGCATTGGATTCCTTTCCACTGTTCCCAGCAATGCGGATGATCAGTTGAAATCCGCAGTGAAAAAGGCGCAAGATAACAAGGGTCAATTCCATAGTGAGTTCCATCATCATCTTAGCTCACTGATTCTTACTGATCAATCGGACCTTTTTTTGCTGCGATCGTTAAGGCAAAGTTGATGTTGCACCTACACCTACAGGAAGCTTGTTGAACGTCTCTCCTACATCTATCTCTTTCATGCCTCCGATGTCCACGGGTATTGTTCAGAATATCGCCAATGGACCTTCCTCGGACTCACGATTACAGTCTGCTGCCATGCCCTCCTCCACACGATTGATTACGAAGACAAGCTGCATGCTTTATTCACTTGCTTTCCCTGCTTTGTTTTTGCTTTCTTCCTTTATTTAATTTTTTGGATTTAAGGGAAAGTTGTAGCATAATTTTCTTTTTTCTTTCAGGATGTAACGACTCTCACTGCACATATATACAACGCGTATATATATTTTCCGTCGCTTATGTTCACCATTATGAATGTCAATGCGACTGCCGACAGAACATGGATGAATGGACACTGCCAACCTTCCGACGTAAGTCAAACTAGTCTACAACGAGGGGATTGAGTATGTATTAATGCTCGCTTACAAGGGCACAACTTGAACATGAGCTGGACATGCTCGTGTATAAGTGCAATAAGTATGGGAGGGAAAGTGGCCAAAAGGTCGCAATACTTCTGCACATTTTTGGGGTCACAAAATTTTTACACAAGTCTGCTCTGATATTTTCGCACAGAATCTTCCACCTAGTTCACTGTGAAAAAAAATATTACGACAATTCCCAATGGACACTGAGGGGATTGAACCCTCGACCTCATGCAAGCGCCTATTTAAGATGCAAAGCAGGCGCGCTACCACTGTGCCAAGTGCCCTGGCATTGTTAGTCTATTGTCGATATCAATGTAGATTTGTAATGCAGCACCGATCGTGCCAGATACTGTACGGTCAGTTGAAAGTTCAAACTGCGAATGATGGTATAAAGTCAACTACTAGCATCATCTAGAGCTTCGACATGGTTACGCATCCGAGGCCTACAGGAGCCAAAGACTCACGGAGAAGCTTAAGGTCAGTACTAGTCTTATGCCTAGAGCGTCGAATCCCTCGCGTCTGTGCCATAGGTAGCATGCAGCATGATGATGCCCCTTAACCGCAGTATTGTATGCACTGATACTACAACACACCCGCAGTTGAATTGTCTGAGAAATTCGACATACGGAAACTGTGCACAGCTACGCAATCAAATGAGCGTGGATTGATTCCAAACATCATGTCCTTCGAGGTGAATATAAAACATCCAGGTATAGTCTCTCAAGTCGTTTCTTCACGTTTGAAAAACATGGGTTCACTCAACGATACTCTTCCTTCTTCATTTGCTTCCGCAGATCGCCCACTTACTCCCGCTACACATGGGGGTCCAAATGAGAAAGGCGAAACTCAAGCGTCACCCCTCCTTACTTCTCCAGCATACGTAGCTGTTTATCACTCGTCCGACGATATAATGGGTGCTCCAACAGCAGGCCGGAGGATGAACAGATCCAGGAGAGTTTGTGTTCGCCTCGTACATTTCTTTTTGCTAGGTTGTCTCTTCTGGTACTTTGCACCTACCATTCTTGACCACTTTCCGCTCTGGGTAAGAGATTTCTATCGCGGATTACACTCTTCGAGCCATTCCTGACACTTTCCGCCTTTCGGTTCTGCAGAGAGGCATCATGTCAGGCGACCATTCTCACGGAGAACCAGGACAATGTCTCGAACACGCAACTTGGACTAACGATAACCTGGGACGCCCTCTTCCTCGTCGTCCCCACTACGAATATGTTGCACATTCGTCTCTTTCTCTCCCCCGACACTCGAATTTGCTGTACTTCTTTAGCCAAGGTGTTCTTGCCAACGGTGCAATCCAATTCGTTGATGATGGTGAATCCGGAAATGGAGATGTCACCGTCGACATCACTGCTTTCTACAACTATGAAGATTTGCTTGGTAGAATCGATGTATGCAGAGTAAAGCGGGGCGAGAACGATAATGGAATTGGTATTTTGGTGAGGTTTCACCGCTTTGAGAGAACATACCGGTTGATTCTGATCGGTCTAATATAGACTCCCAACTATCACCCTCATCCTCGTCGTGATGATGTTCATTTCGATGTTGTTGTCCGACTTCCATCATCTGAGGGAATCGCCGAGTATACTGACTTGGAAACGAGATTGTCGATCTTTGCGCATACGATTGACGACCTTCAGCATAAATTCGCTTTCCAAAACGTGAATTTTGCCACCTCAAACACTCCCATCCAAGTGAAGGTGAGACTACGAGCTTAATGGCAGAATTTGTGAATTCTCATTTCTTCCAGTCTATCTTAGCCAAGCAGTTAGTTGCACAAACTTCTAACGGTCCTATCGGTGGAACTTTCAACATCACGGATCGTCTCGATATCCACACATCTAATTCACCAATCACGGCCGACGTGTACGCATATAACGATGGAAGATCTGACCTTCTTGTGACTTCAATCTCTCTTACCACGTCGAACTCGTAAGTTTCGTCTTGCATATGATGCATTTGAACGTTTGATCACAGAGAATGTCTAGGCCCATCAAAACAAATTTGTTTTTGCACTCCCGAACTGCCAACGAGACCGGTGGTTCCTTTGATGTCAAGCTTCGCACATCTAACTCTCCTTTGGATGTATTCATCCCTGAAGCACCTTTGAACCACACCTTGAAACTCAACGCTGTTTCTTCCAACGGTCAGATCCGTGCAGGGATTCATAAAGCTTTTGAAGGAAATTTTGGGGCACGTTCAAGTACCTGGTTCACCCCTAACGTCTTCTTCTCTTCAACCCAAGAGGAGGATCCAAGTGGACAGAACAGGGAAAGGAAAACGTCTTTGACTAAAGGACGTGGGTACGTTAGGGGATGGGTCTCATGGGGAAATCCTTCGTTTGCGACAGATTCTCACTCTTCTTCCAACCGTCCTTATCCTCCCTCACGTTCCTCAGCAATTTATGGACCTCCAAGTCTTTTCTCTGCTATTCCTTCCGCTTCACAACTTTATTCTGCCATGAATTCTGCTGCTCCAAGCTCTTTCCCGTTCATGCCCTCTCAGGTCAACCCTTCGTCAGCTCAACCGTCTGGCGCAGCGTCCGGTTTACGAGGGGACATCGAGCTTGTCACTTCTAATGCCGGAATCACTTTGGCTCTTTGAAATTGTCTCGTTTATTTGATATATTTTCCCATTATGTCTCTTCCTTCTTTCGAGTTGCAAGTTTTATTTCTCCTCCCCCTTGTTATTGTGGATATGATATGTACAGTTTGTCATGTATGAATCAGAATGTAACATTGAATGTAATCTGGCCACTTGCAATCATGTGACAATAGCATTCTATTCACGTGATTATTAACCCCCTTCAACAAGAAGTTCAAGATTCGTTGAACCCGTACTACTACCTCTATGAAGGGAACGACTATCTTCCCTTCCGAGGTCTGTGGAGGAGACTATACTACTACTTTCACTCTAATACCTAATCGAAATGCGTACCGAACTTTAGTACCTTCGCCGATGGACAAGAGAGGACCATCCCATGGCTCCAGTCTTTCATCAGACGTGGTGGGGCACGACTCACTTACAGGACAAGCTACGCATAGAGTCGAACCCAGTTCTCAACGTTTTGGAAGTCCCCTTTGATAAACGAATCCATCTTCTCATGGAAACTCGCGGACAGTTATGTGTTAGGAACGACTACAAGCTTCTTTATGACAGACTCGTGTCTCTTAGCCAGTCTGGCAAGAAAGTGGGAGTAATCTTGAGCGGACAGCCTGGGATCGGTCAGCCCGAGTTTTTTTGTCGCGGTTTCGTCTTCTGTACTCAGAATCTCTCTAGGGAAATCATATTTCAACATGTTCGCTCTTCTAAAACGCATGTCCGAGAGAAAGGCCACATTATTCACCAATTTCCGCGGCGTTACCTTTCTATTCCATGAGGAGGGCATATTCAGAAAACCCGCCGTAACAGTTTCACTTGAAGATGATATTGCATCAATGGTGGTCACTAATTGATGCATCCGATGAACCACGTCCTCCTCCACATAGCATCAGAAGCCCCGAAATTTTCACAATCTACACAACTTCTCCAAATGATGCAAAGTACAAGAACTGGGTTAAGCAGATGCATCTTCCAATTTGGTACATGCAGCCATGGTCTGAAGCAGAACTTTCAGTCGGGTAGGTGTTAAGAATGCCATGCATGCTCTCTCTTTTACGGTTTATACTCTCTACCCAGGCTTCCTCTTAGCTTTGATAACAATCAACTCCCTCCTGGTTCTGACCTCGCTGCGATAGTTGAAGAGTACGGCCCTAGTCCTCAAGATCTCATAGACTTTGTCAGCGAGGGACTATCTCGCTATCGATCTCGAATCGACAGAGCTGCGGATACACTGACCTCACTTCGGGAGATCCATGATTTGGTCAACATAGCGAAAACGTCACCCAACGCGATGTCCCATCAACTAATTCTAATATCCCGTTGCGACAATATCCCTGCTTTTGAGTCAACAATATCAGACGACGTACTCGTTGACTTCAAGACTGATCACATCGCCAGGCATGTTCTGACATATAGACGAGAGAGTATCGAGTTATCAAGTGCGGAAGAAACGTTCTGTCTCTGTGGACGGTATCCCGTTGGAAGTACTTTGTGTGGTTGGCTCTTTGAATTCCTAGCTATTCGATATATCAGCGAGCAAAACAAGTATTCAAGTTACATCTCCACCTTCAGCAAGATGTCCCTCCGGTCCGGGCGAACTTTCGTCTCCCGTCATCTCCGCGGCAAAGAAAATGCCCTGGTCGTCTGCGACCACTCCAGTGTCGTCCAAGCGAGAGAACGTCTTATCAATGGATTAAACCCTGTCCATCCTGAAACTACCGTCACCTCCTTGCCAACTAAGGGACGAATGATTGTGCATTACTATGATAGCCTTGAGAGGGTGTTATCGGGTTCCATTCGGCAGGGTCTATGGCGTAGCTACGTTTATGTCCCTTCCATCCCCAACACCCCTCTTTTCGACGCCATCCTTTTTGACTGGGCAAATGACGCGGCCACATGTGTCAATATGTTTGTTCTTCAAGTCGCGACGAGAAAGAGTCATCGTGAATCGGAGGATGGCTATGTGACACTTCGTCAGGCGCGACAGGCTTTCGAGAAGATTGGGAAGAAAGTTGAGATTCAGTACGTTTTGATTGCACCGCGAGGACGTCACGACGTTGTGCAATGGGAGATGCCCCCTGGATTTGAAGATGATGAGGTTCGCGGTAATATTACGTGCAATTGATTGATGTGGATGCTATTGTTCCAAGTTGAGCTACTAGTTAGATTCTCTTCTGTTTAAATGACCCTTCCTGCCTCCCTGTATACGAGTATCTCGTTGTGACTTATTTTACTCATGTTATTCAACTTGCAGTTGTAATCAATATATTCTGTCGTGTAGTTGTCCAAACATCAACGATCCATGGATTTGAAAAGTAGAAAGAAATATGCATGTTTTCGAATTCGAATGTAGATGTGAAAATGCGGATCATCTATGCTACAAAATAATATTCCAATGATACAGGTAGTATGATCTCTACCCAGACGTCCAAAGTCCGAGTATACGTCTGAGCACCAAGAAGAAAAAACTAAATACGAAACGAAATCCAACCTTCAGCACCATCATCCCCAACCTCTTCCAATTCCCAGAAGTTTCAAGTCAGCTCAAGCCAGTCTACGTAGAAGTTGATCTTCTCGAAACGATGACAGGTAAACAACCCCTCTGTAAAGTCCCTTCATCTCTAATTGAATTTTCCCATTCTTCAACTTCCCACTGTCCTTCCCCGGG